AAAAAAAAAAAAAAGATACACGACCAAAACAAAACAAAATCTTGAATCCCTGAAACTAAAAGATCTCCGAAACTCAATTTGAAGAGTGAATTTTGGGAAAAAAAATTGGTAATTGGCAACTCGTGAAATTTGGGTAAAAAAACTCGATCTTGAAGACTGAATTTTGGAAAAAAGAAAAATGGTAATTGGCAACTCGTGAAATTTGGGCAAAAAATTGGTTTGGTTTGGTAATTGGACTGGGTAGATCTTGAAGAGTGAAATTTGGGGAAAAAGAGGAAGAATAACATAACAATTAGTGATCGGGCAGCATAATTCTTCTGAATTGATAAAGGAACAAAATTTGTAAATCCATCAACTTTTTTCATCCAAGGCATCTTATAATTTGAAAGATTAGATTTCAAAAAATAAGATGTTTTGGAGAAAAATAGATGTTCTTATTAGATCTGAAAATCTCAAATCTGAAAAAAGTTTAGATGAGGAGCTGAATTGATAAAGGATCAAAATTTGTAAATCCATCAACTTTTTTCATCCAAGGCATCTTATAATTTGAAAGATAAGATTAACCTTTCAAAAAGTAAGATGTTTTGGAGAAAAATAGATGTGTTCTTATTAGATCTGAAAATCTCAAATCTGAAAAAAGTTTTAGATGAGGAGCAGAGAGAAGGTATACGAATGAGACTTGTGAGTTGTGATCTTAAATATATGGTGAAAGTCCCTATATAATGCAAGTTGGGTTGGTGTGATTTTTTGTATAGCATTAATTAATACTTAGGCAAGTTGGGGTATATGACTTTTTCTTTTTTTTCTTTTTGTTATATAATACGCGGCGAGTTTGGGTGTATGACCTTTTTTTGTTATATAATACTAGTTGGGTTCCGGCTGTGCATGCACAGCCGGCCCAAATTTAGTCATTAATCTTGCAAAAAAAGATCTTGCAGTGAAAATTTAGTGTGTCTATCAGTGTTGTAAAATCTTGCAAATGTGCCAATTCTCTCCAACCTTACATTACTTATTCGACAGATTCGACAGACGTCAGACACATTTCATTCGGTAAGAGTCACTAAATTCTTGATATTATCATCTACTACAACAATGTCATACTAACATGTGTGTCTAATTTCTTTCTCAGCGTACTTCTCACAAGCAATGTCCTCTTTTCCTTGGGCGTAAGAGCATGCTCTTTTATGTTGGTCAACAACTCTTATCTCATGAATTACACAATTAAAAGTCAATAAACAATGTGGAAGATACGTTACAATTGATATATTTCAAAACTTTGCAAAAATTTCAAGATTATTAAATAGTGGAGCAATTGAGCAAGGAGATTTTAATTGCAGTAGGCTACTACAATCAAAGTATTTGAAGAACAAAAAAAAGTCTATATGAGCAAAAAGTAGTCTAAGTACTTTTAGTTTTCTAAGGAAAAAAGGGAATTTTTCTTATTTATGAAATCGTAAACTAACTTCCTATACAGGCAACAGTATAGTAAGACACAGCAGTATAGTAAGACAAAATTTTTAGAATTGAATTTAGGATATGAATAAGAGAAAATAAAATAAACAAGTTCACTGTCGAATACACGTCCATAACCTGAAAAACGTCCAAATGAATCACAATGATAATTAACTTATGCATGCCGAGCAAAAGCAGTTAGATTGTGCCTTCTTTCATTCGCTTTGTATCAGTCCNAATTACACAATTAAAAGTCAATAAACAATGTGGAAGATACGTTACAAATTGATATATTTCAAAACTTTGCAAAAATTCCAAAGATTATCAAATAGTGGAGCAATTGAGCAAGGAGATTTTAATTGCAGTAGGCTACTACAATCAAAGTATTTGAAGAAAAAAAAAAGTATATATGAGCAAAAAGTAGTCTAAGTACTTTTAGTTTTCTAAGGAAAAAAGGGAATTTTTCTTATTTATGAAATCGTAAATTAACTTCCTATACATGCAACAGTATAGTAAGACACAGCAGTATAGTAAGACAAATTTTTTAGAATTGAATTTAGGATATGAATAAGAGAAACTAAAATAAACAAGTTCACTGTCGAATACACGTCCATAACCTGAAAAACTTCCAAATGAATCACAATGATAATTAACTTATGCATGCCGAGCAAAAGCAGTTAGATTGTGCCTTCTTTCATTCGCTTTGTATCAGTCCACTCACTTTTTGCCAAATCTAAAAATACACAGTTATAATGCCACTCACTTTTTGCCTAAGACCGAACCTTGGAATGGGTGTGACCAATGGACGCTGCCAAGATCGCAGTTCGCCTCCTTTCCAAATGGTTCGCGCTCCGCACGTTTACCGTAATCCCCCAGCAGTTTGTCAACATCCACCTCAAGCAAGACAGAGATAGGGTAAATTAAAAGAAATTAATGTTAAATATGGAGAAATATATTAAGAAAAATGAAAGGATCTAAAGGGATATATCACAACGATCAGGATCCATTCAGAGAGAGCAATGGAGAACGAACCATAACTCATTGCTATTGGCAAAACGAAGATATAGTCATAAACCTGCAGTACAAAAGAAAAAAAATTGGTATCACGTGTTTTTGTCATCAAACAATAACAATCAAAACCCAAATAGATCTATTAGATGAAGTCTAAATTAAAGAATTTATTCATTTTGAAATCAAAGTGTTGTGGGAGTTGTAGATTTACTATTCTGAACTGATGACTGGATGCGATAATTCATCGGTGAACGGATGTGGCTGTTCACCTTCAGACTGACCATGACTGTTCATGATATTAATTGAGGAATGGAGAAGACGTTAAATATTCCAATACAAATGAAAGATGAATAAAAGAGTAGAGATAGAAACTGAATTCGGACGCAACTCAAAAATCAACAAACTCTTTTTTAGCTGAGCAAAATAATAATAATAATAATAATAATAATAATAATAATAATAATAATAATAATAATAATAAAAAGGCGCATTTCATTAACTTTTCTCGATGAAACTGGCTTTTCTTTAGAGGTTCATAAACACTCCTTAATAAAGTTGTACATAAATTTGTCCCATATATACAATGAACACATAAGCGAACAAACCCAAAATGATACAAACCACATGTACATATGCTTTTAGACATCAAACAAGTATTAATACAAATCACCTGAACAAACATTTATGTTCCATAAAATGATGTGCTAAGATTGTGGTTATAACCGGTAAAGCCAACCATTTTTAGCTCTACNTAGCTCTACTGCTTGTTGCTTCTCGATCATATCTAATGTGTCGTAGATCTCCATCCCCATACCCCTTAATCACATTAAAAATGTGTGAATGCATGAAAGTTTGATCGCCATAAAAACAAGGCAGAACAAAACAATTAAATATAAAAATCAGACACCACATGATTGATTTCACATGTTTAAGAATCTGGTTAAAACTGGTCTTTGTTCCTACGGTTTCTCGCCATGTAGCACTCATACACAATCAAGTGTTGTCCGCCTCTTTTGCTAGCTCATATATGAATAGAACTAAATCCATATTCAAATAGATTTAATTCATGTAACAATCCGAGTAATTTAAAAATAATAGATCAAATAATTACTGCCTCTGTTATTAAAATTAATGAAAAAGATAAACCCACAACTGAAAAAGAACCAAGCTTGACGGATTTCACCTTGATCAATGGACATTCAATTGAAAATGCTTTCAAAATTGAAGCTAATGCTTACCGATTATACCTACCGGAGCTGCTTGCCAGCCATTGCAGGCAGGTCGTCATCGCACGATTTGTCCAATTA